GTCCCCTCGGCGAGCGCGAAGCTTGCGGTGTGAAAGGAATTGGCGTCCAGGGAAGGCTCCGCTGCCCGCCTTTTGTGTTGCCTTAGCTTAATGATTTTCATAGTGTTTTTGTGCAACGGATTACTTCTTAAGGCAGACATAATCTCTTAAACCCTCGCTTTTCTGTGCTTCCTGCTGCGGGTATAACACAGTGGAGGGTTAAAAGGTACGGTGGCGAAGTCTTGATGTGAAAAACAAAACCACGGTTGCTTCTCCTTCGTGTAACATCTTACTTCCAGCCCCTGTTTCGAGTTACTCTTGCCTAAGGTTTTCTCTTCTTAGCCCGCAGACAGGGATAACAGTGGCCAAGGCAGCAAGTGATAGCCACCAGGCTGCCTGCAGTCATCCTGCTTCACCTGCTCGTACAGCCGGTGCAAGCGTTGCTAAAGATGAGGCTGCGCGTTCTGTTTGTGCTGCTCTCGGTTCAGACCGCTGCTAGCGGTGGAACCTCCCTGCTCTCCCTACCCAGAGGGATAGTGGGAAAGCCTGAGAAAACGTCGTGCTGACCAGGTGCCTGTAAGGGACGGCTGTCCTCTCTTGCTGACTTTAGCCTACGCTGCTTTACATCTTTCAGGTCAATTTTCCGTTTGCCTTTCCTATATTTTCTATTGCAGCAATGCCCATGCTTAAGTATGCTTTAATTTTATACATCTGAGACCTGGAAAAGGCCTGCAGAGTGTGTGAATGTGAAGACCGGTTGATGCAAGAAAATCTCAAACAATGAAAATTCGAGATATGCTGCTAACACAGTATGTCTCTGGGAAGCTCTTTGTTTTTTACTTTTTGAAATGATTGGAATACAGTTTGAGAGCTACCGATGCAGTATATGTTCTGTATCTTTGAGTTGTATTGAACGAATAGATGGTTAATGTTCACCTAGTTTATTTTGTCATGCAACTCAGTATGTAATGTCCCATTTCTAGCTTACTTATGCAGAAAGACCCAAAATAAAATGGCTGCTATTATATCTCTTGAAAAATACTATTATTAATAAGAACACTTGAATTTAAAAATAGAAATAATTTCTTATTTTGGTTATTTGCTGGTTTATTTTTCTTGCAGTATGAACAGTAAAAACTGATTTTTGTTTATGGACAGCTAGAGCGTCAGTTAAAATTCTGCAGTGTATTGGTTGAGTTTTGTTTTTTTGAAAACAATTGTGGTTTTTTTTTGAAAAAAACACTGTTTTTTAAAACTTAGTAAAAATGAGGGGCGGTTCTGATCTGAGTTATTTTAGCAGTGTATTCTACAGTATTTAAAGGTGTATTTGTCGTCTTTTTAAATCTTTTTGAAAGAATCTACTGAGTCTGTAAAAACAACGAAGCTGATGATTGGAAGGGATATCACTAACTGGGAAATACTTCCTTCTGTTACGTGTGGTCTTCGTTGCAAGTGTGTCCTGTCCATCTAATCCGAGCTTTGAAAGATGGATCTTCAAACTTCTGTTATTCTCGGATGCACCACTAACAACTTCTGTGATTGTGGAGAGCGTGCTTCACTTCTGGGCTTTTTTGTTTCTCCACCACTAAAGTGGAAAAAGGAATTCCTTCCCTTGTAGCCTGAAACTAAGGTCTGTCAATGTTTTCTGTTACAGACAAGCTGATGGTCGTAAAGTCCTGCGGTCAAGTATACGAGAATTCCTGTGTAGCGAGGCTATGTTTCATCTAGGAATACCAACAACAAGAGCCGGAACATGTGTGACATCTGACTCCAAAGTTGTTCGTGACATATTTTATGATGGAAATCCAAAAAATGAAAGGTGTACAGTTGTCCTGAGAATAGCTTCAACATTTATAAGGTAGAAAGAAGCCTACTTAATTTTTCATATGAAAACCAAGTGCTGCAGCTTTTGAAGTGTGGGTGTGTGCATATACATGTATATGTGTGCGTGTGTGTCTTTATTTCTGTAACCGTGTCATCTGTATCTTATTCTGCGACCTTGGAAGTTTTTAATTAAATGGTAGAAATCTGCTCTTTCAGTCCAGTGGATGAGATGAGCCAACATCTTTGCAAACAGGGAAATAAACACTAGGCATGCTGGCATGCACAAAGCAGAACTAAGTTCTGCAGTTGTCAGAAGAGATTTTTCATGTTTATGCCTGTAACTGCAGAGAAAACACACTTTTTGATGTTGGTAGTATTGATTGGTTATAATTCTACCCTTAATTTTAAAGCTATCTAAAGATACAATACTGTAGAAGTCCAGATCCTTCTAAGAGTGCCTTATGAGGGTACTTGTGTTGCCCGAGAACTGTACAGAGTTCCTGCTCCAGTGCAAAACATCGGGAGCTTCAGGAGGATGCATAGTTTCTTGTAAAGCAACCAAATGTTAGAGAATGGTGAGGCATAAGGAATGTGTATGACATAGAAAAATATATCTTAAACCCTTGATGTACTGTTGTATTTTAGATTAGTTCTGTTCCTGTATGTTTACTCAGAATAAGGGTTTTTTTGCAGGAGAGTTCATAAGAACCTTTAATGAGCTGGTCTTCAGTGCTAGCGGGGGTTCTGATCTGCCATTTTTCTAGGTGTGGATGTTTATGCTTCCTCGCATTGAGTCACTGAGCCTCGTTGGTTTCACAGTAGGCGTTTTTCAGGTCTTTTCTCTGTCACTCGAGGGACTGATGGTATTAAACTCAAGAGACTGTTGCGTTGTTACAATAGCGCTAAATGTTTTTACTGCATGTAAAATCAAATAAATTTAATAGTACTGAATAATATTAAAACATTTTTATTATTATTCATTATTATTTTTAATACAGGTTTGGATCTTTTGAAATTTTTAAGCCTACTGATGAACATACGGGGCGCAAAGGTCCTAGCGTTAACAGAAATGATATTCGAATACAAATGCTCGATTATGTGATCGGCACTTTCTATCCAGAAATCCAGGAGGCTTATTCTGATAACAGTATTCAGAGAAATGCTGCTTTCTTTAAAGAGGTAGGAAGGATATGTTTCTTTTCATAAATTTGTAGCAGTAGACTTTAAGAACTCCATCTGTGAGCGCAATGACTGGAGTCAGTTAATATCTTGAGTCTCTTGATTACTTGAACTATTCTTCTCTTTGGATAATGCACTATTAATAGCACTGTTTATTGATGAAAGCAATATTGATATTGATGAAACCAATGAAAGCAGTTTTACCTCTTTAATAGTAAATGATGTTTTCCCAGCTCTTGGAGAGCTTTCCGAAACCGTTCTCTCAATTTGCTGAGAGTATTTCAGCATGCGAAGGGAAATTCTGGCCCTCGTTGTTAGGTAATGAGTTGATGGTACTGAGATATCATTTGTAAGGTAAAGTACTGAGAATGTTCAGTCAGTTCCTGCTTCTTATTTTCCAAATGAAAAGTACCTTAATTAATATCATAGCTTAAAATAGTCATTTTTGTTTATAATAAGGCACACTTGTTTTTGGGCATCGCTATATTAGCAGCAGTAGAGAAATGTGTTTAAAAATAATAAAGGTTGAAGTGAGTTGCAGAGCTGTCTATCTAATCAATAACCCTGTCTTTGAGTAGCAGCCAAGCTCGTGCTCTCATGTGCATACGTGCTTTCTCTCTCTCGTGCACGTGCTCTCTCTCTCTGTCATGCACTTAACTCTCTCTTTCCTTCATTTTTTTCCATAGTTTTACTGTCTCAGGTGGCACAGAGCCATCATATACAGGGTTTGTCACTCTGTGGTTTACTGCATGCTAATAATCAGTTTTGTACCCATATAACTACTTGGAATGCCCTCTGGCTTCTGACTTCTACCCTGGGAAGCAGGATTTATTAAAACAGTTTAAACCACCTAACATGAGCATGCTACAGGAAGTGGAAGCATGGGATTTTCAAGGTGAAATGAAGGCTTGCATACCAAGATAATTTGCAATTTTTACTACCTTTAGACTGTACCCAGGGCAAGAATTTTCTAGCTTTTTTTCCCCCCCGCCCTTCCCCTTAGCTGAATGCACACATTAAAGCGGGGGAGGATTCTGGTTTGGAAGGCAATGAATAAAAGTAACACTCCTTCTGTTAACAATTTGTTTTTGTTTTAATAAGCTTGATAAATCCCACTGCAGCCCAGGGAGAATAGATGCTTTAAAATTCTGTACATGGATAGCTATTTAGGCAGATAAGTGATTTCAGCTATGACAATGGTTTTGTTTAAAAGTTTTAGCTAGTGCCACATAAAATATAAATTTATTTATAGGAATTCCGTAAAGTATTTGGAAATATCTATGTTTATTTAAAAGCTGTACTAGCTTCCTGACTTCCAGGTTTCATAGGGTTTATCTAATTGCAGCTGGCAGATGGACTAAAGTAATGAAATAACCAGGCCTATTTTATGTGGTACGGGCACCAATTCCAGCTAAAGGACCCACGACAATCAGAGTTAAACAACTAAAGAACTGGTAAAGCACACATTCAGTGAAGAATTACATTTAAATAAAAACTTGTATCATTTTTGGAAATTTTTCTTAACCTCTTAGCTTTTTTCTCTTCTTGGCAAATTGAAGGAAGTGCTTATCAGTGCTAAAACATGTTAGCAAGAAATAAATTTTGTCTAAATGACTTACCTTTCTATAAATCACTCTTACATACTAGGTAAACCAAAGTACTGGCTTTACACTGGGTTTTGTGGCACATAGTTTTCCCCCTTCTCTCCCACCTCAGATTTTGCTTACGCCTCCTCCTACTTGTAGTAAAAGGATCTTAAAATAAGAAGCAGCCGAAAGACGATATTGTATGATGACTAGAACAGCAGGCAAGTCTGATCTTCAACAGTTTATCTGCTCTCAGTGTCCCATCCCAGTATAATTTGTAGCTGTACAATAGACTTTCAAGTTAAATGTAGACGTAAAGAAGAGAGAACAAAGAAAAATGGGAGATATAGGGACCGGGCAGTTGATAAAAGGAGGAGAGAGGAAAGCAGCCTTTAGGGTTTTTTTTTTTTTTTTTTTTTGGCATATGGTATACAAGCCAGAATCTGCTTCCATCAGAGCTGTCGAAAGATCAGTTCAACATATCGGATGCTTGGAAATATAAGAACATTTATAAGTTGTTTGACAAATGAAAAATTCTCTTTTAGATAACAAAACGGACAGCAAGATTGGTTGCTGAGTGGCAGTGTGTTGGTTTTTGCCATGGCGTGCTGAATACAGATAATATGAGTATAGTTGGACTAACTATTGACTATGGCCCTTTTGGATTTATGGACAGGTCAGTGTGTCATAATTGAAATGTGCATATGTATCTGCTGTGTAGAGCGATCCTGACACTGTTCACTATTGCTTTAATATTTTTAACTCTCCAGTGGATTTATTAACTCTATTTATGGCAAAGCAGATTAAGTTAGCCCTAGCTGTCCTGTGTTCTTCTGTTCAACCTTTCTATATACAACTTTGTTGCTGACATCTCTGCCCTTAGGCTGGTTTTGTTTATAATGTGTGGGGTTTCTCGTATTTGGGAGGGCAGGAAAATACCTAATTAGGTAGCTTTGGGAGAAGAAAGAGTCCCATGACAAGAAGTACTACTCCTTTTTGGTTATTCTGGTCTCCTAGAGAGCCTCACTTAGTATTGGTGTGCAGATAACTAGAAGAATGCTAACTATTTCTTTATTTGTAGATATGACCCTGAACACATTTGCAATGGTTCTGATAATACAGGGCGCTATGCTTACAACAAGCAGCCAGAAATTTGCAAGTGGAATCTAGGGAAGCTTGCTGAAGCTTTAGTTCCAGAGCTGCCTCTGGAAATAAGTGAACTCATCCTGGAAGAGGAATACGATGCAGAATTTGAGAAACATTATTTGCAGAAGATGAGGAAGAAGCTAGGTCTAATTCAGCTGGAATTAGAAGAAGATAATAAGCTGGTGTCCGAACTTCTTGAAACTATGCATCTCACAGGTTGGTGAGGAACAGAGCAAGTTATTACTTAGTAGCCCATAAATATTTTACAGTCAAACCAAAATGTAGTTCTTATCTTGACTTTATAAAAAAGAAGCCTTGTGTGACTACATCCTCATCTGAAAGAAGAGCAAAAGACTAAAAGGTATTTAACTTCTTGTGAACTGTGTGACAGCTGGTGCCTTGATGGAGGGCTCCCCTATATCACATTTGCACCGTCACTGAGCAAGTGGCAGGCGGAAGTTAGCTACTACGTATTTTACGTCTGTCTGCGTTAGCCACCCGCACCGCTTCTGGGTGTTAGGGAAGGAATTTGTGGGACCTGTTTCCCTACTGGTTTGTTAGCTCTATTGCTCATAGAATTTACTTTTTTCAGGCGGGGACTTCACAAATATTTTCTACTTGCTGAGTTCATTCCTAGTAGATTCTGATCCTTCAAGACTGGAAGATTTCTTAGAAAAGCTAGCAACCCAGTGTGCTTCCCTGGAAGAACTGAAAGTTGCTTTCAAACCTCAGATGGATCCAAGGTAATACTGTTACAGGCTTCAATGCTTCTGGATGGTGCTTTTAGTTTTATCATTACTCTAATGAACTTTGCCTGCTCTATAATAGTTAACTGACTTTAAATTTGGAAACTTCACTGTTAAGTGGATGCATCGTGATATACAGCAGTGCAAACTTGTGTGTTTTGTGGGCTGATGAATTCTCAGAAATCAGCTCTGGGCCTGAGAGTATCTGGAGTTTTGGTTTTTGTTTTTTTCACTTTATCCGCTGACAAAGCCAATGAGAGTGCCAGATGGTGAGATGGTACAGTTAATATTTTATGAGGAGATGGATTTAAACAAAATCTCTCCTGTGTTCTGCCAACGCACCGTTAGCTAATAATCACTTTCAGCCACCAATGTTCTGATCTAAGTATAACTAAAATGCACGCTCTATACTCAGATACTGTTTGGTGCCATCCAGGTCTCTTTTGATGGGCCAGATTGTCCAGCCCAGCTGCTGCGAGAATGGAAAAGTAGTAAATCTTGTTCAACTGCTGTTTATATCGGGCCTGCCTGTATCTTTTCCCTTTTTGGAGCAGTGGAAAGCAGGCAATGAACGTAACGCTTGAATTTTTCCTTTCTTTCTAGCTCTTTCCAAGACGGGGAGAAAAAAATTACGGCTTGGGGTATTTTGAGTAGGGCTTTTACCCCTCTGTTTAGTTCTGTGAATGTAACGAAGGTACCAAATTCTTCAGTTCTTCTGTCTGCTGGTATCACACTTAATTTGGGTAAAGCAGATAACTGAGAAGATGGACTCATTCTGGCTTCTGTAGTGTGAAATTTGTTCATGCAAGTTTGATATTGCACGGAGCTGGCTGGCTTTAATCATCATTCTGGAGATGTTACTGGGTGTTCAAGTTTTAGCAGTGATGCCCTAAATTGAAAGGGGAAGAAATTAAGAAGATTATGGATACTGCTTATTTAATTAACTTTCAGATTTCAGCTCCTTTGAAATTGTAAGCAGATGTCAAGTAACGTGAAGACAGTCTGTGTGACAGATATAATTCTTTTTTTAAGGATTGTTACATTTGGACTTAAAGGAGCGTTAAAAGTAGCAATAAATCAACATATGGATATAAAGCCTTGGGGTGGGGATGTAGCATTGCTGAGCTAAGCTGAATGCCTCATTGATTTTTATCGTAGCACTTAGATATCGTAGAGCTGGTTACGTCAGATATGCAAATCAGATTTGGATGATATTTTATATAGACTGAAAAATCAAAGCACCTAGCTTATCTCTGTTTAAATCAGGTTATATTTTACTGCTTTTAGTAATGAGTTGTCTGTTTTTTGAGGCTGGGAATAATGTCTCTTTCTTTTATTTATGCATGCGTTCACAGAAAGACATGGAAAGAGTAGAGTATATTCTCATACCCTGTAACTTACACTGTTTGTTTTAGTGTGTTTTACTTTTTGCCATAGTACAGTTATTTATACCAGGAAGAAAAAATTAATTAATGTGATGTTCAGAATGTGGTGAAGCTCCTGTACGCGCCAATTAACATAGCCTTATGTCAAAGGCTAAAATCTTAATCAAACATGCAGCAAAATAGCTTCGATGTTGCTAGGAATTTACTACCACAAAACAGTTTTTTCCTTCTGTGATTTAGATTGGTTAAAGTTGTTTAAGTTAAATAGTAAAATAGAATAACTGTCTTGTGTGAGTTAAATGAGGTGGGTTTTTTTCCCCATGTCATTTTGGGTTTTTAGTATCAGTAAGATTAATGTTAGAGCTTTATTCTGAATGCTGTTACAGTGTTAATGCCCAATTTACAAAAAGGTATCTTAAAAAAAGAAACTGAAAAAAGGATTCTGTATTATCCTGGTAAATTCCATATACAGAATGCTATATGAAAGTACTGGAGGTCTTTCAAAGTGCCTAGGTTGTTTTGCTGAGAATTATGCATCTAAACCCAACTGGTAGTTCTGAGTCTGAAAAATCTGAAAGTCTGCACTTTATACACCACAGACATGTATATTAAGCAGACTGCAGAAGGGGGAGGAAACAATAAAATGAGCATAATTTATTATGAATTTGTAAATTATAAAGTACTGGTATTTAACCTCTTTAGTGAAATCATAGGTTATTGTGAATGTTTTTGTTTACTTTATGGTTGCAAAAGATAGGTCTTGACAGACAGCTTAGATTTAACATCTAATGTGTGTGGGTTTTTTTTCTCTCGTTTCCAGACAACTGTCAATGATGCTAATGTTGGCTCAGTCTAATCCTCAGTTGTTTGCATTAATTGGAACAAAAGCTAATATAAATAAAGAACTAGAGCGCATTGAACAATTCTCTAAACTGCAGCAGTTAACAGCAGCTGATTTACTTGGTAGAAATAAAAGACATTGGAAAGAATGGCTGGAGAAATATAGGTAAGGTGTAGCAATACTCATAGCAGAATATCTGTTCTGCTTTTTATTCAAGAACAATGTATCTGTCGCATTAAAACCTCCCTCACTTGAGAAGTATATACGTGTAGGAAAAAAAAACAAAGCCTTTGACTGTTATTAATCTGCTCAAAGGTCAGTATCTGTGTTGCTATGAAAGTTGAGACACTTGTGTATTTTGTTTATGAGATTTCCGAGGTGGGGAATTAACTAACATTAAATCTGGTATAAAAAGCACTTCCAGAATGTTGGTCTTGATTCTAGTAGACATTAATTTCAAATGTGAACTATTCGGTGGTGAGTAACTAGAATTGGCTGACCTCTGAGCATTTTATCTATTTACAGGGTGGGTTTTTTTTTTCCTGGAATAAAAAAAGTGCATTATTATACAAAACAAGTAAAAGCATTTCTAGTCAAACAGTAACTGTAACAGAAGTCAAGGCCAGAAAAATAAGTCCCGTCTCTTCTAATGTGCGTTACTTATCCAGCTAGCCCTGAATTTTTAGGCTATTTTCTGTAATGAAAACCTCCTGTAGCGCATTAGTTCTCTCTGCTGTGTGGATTCAGGACTCCTTTCCTCAAGGGGCTGGCTGTGATCTTATTCTCCGATGGGTCTGAGAATTTTGGCAAGTGTAACTGCTAGTTGGTAGCCCAAACTGCCTCAGCTGTATGGCATCCTTTTACTTTTATAAGAACATCAAAAACTTAACCAGTAAACAAGCAATGAAATACTTAAAAGCCAGGTTCTGAAGGCACAGGTTTTTGCAGAGTAACGCGTAACAGGCCATGCGCCAGTGGGCGTGGATCTTAAACTCTTGACTTTTCAGAGGTATTCTGGATGTGTGACACTTGCTGAAGTACCGTCAGGATTTTCTGATGGCTGGTCAGGTTTCACTTTTAAATGACATGGGAAGTGTCATTTTTGTATTTTATTGCTGTGCTGGATTTTATAAATTGAAAGGATTATAGGTTATGTAATTACTGTCTTGAGATCCTTAGTTTTCAGCTCTTAATATTTCAAGAAAAAGGGTCATTTTTTACATGTGATTCTTGAACCAAACAAAACTATTTGTTTCTATCTGCTCATTTTCAGAGTCCGTTTGCAAAAAGAAATAGAAAATGTTAGTAATGCTGATGTCTGGAATACTGATCATGTGAAGGTTATGAATTCAAATAATCCAAAATACATCTTGAGAAATTATATTGCCCAGAATGCCATAGAAGCAGCTGAAAATGGGGATTTCTCAGAGGTATGATATTACTACATACCATCTTTATATGCTTGATGATTTGACATTATGCTAAAGGAACTTGAAACCCAGGTAAGATTCATTATGGCATATAGGCAACTGGGAATTTACTATTATGAAGGCCCATATTATTTTTGAGGTAGCTGTGGTTTTAATGCCTACAAAAGAAAGAAAAAAGCTGAAAATCTGAATCTGAACTTCACTAGCTTTTGCAGGCTGATCTTGCAGGGCAAGACATTTAGCCTGGCTTTCACATCTTCAGAATGGTATCTGTCTCGGGAAGACTGTTGCGGATTAATTTATACTTGAGTCTTTCTGTGACAAATGATGTCTTTCGAAAGTGATGGCTATTACCTGTAGAGTTCTGCGTGTAGGCTGTTACATGCAGAATGCAGACAAATTAATATATTTTGAGAAGAGCAACATGAGAATTTGTATTTAAGACTTACAGTTGAAGTTCTTTGTGTTTGTATGGAACTCAAGTTCAAATTCAACCAGTTACGATTTTAGAATTTGCAGCTCGTTTGGTACACATACGGCTCATTTATTTCATGTTTGACTCTTTCTTCCTCTGGAGTGTATTAATTACAATAAACTCAATCATTATTTGGTTTAAGGTTTTCTACAACATTTTGCCTTTACTTTCTAAATTCTCATAACTGTGCTCTTTTCTCTCTAGGTTAGAAATGTATTGAAACTTCTAGAGAATCCATTCCAAGAAACAGAAAGTTTCAGGGAGGTGAAGGAAGAAGCAGAAGAGGAGGGAACAGCTGCTGCAGCAGCTGCTTGTGCTGAAGTGACCAGAAGTAGACTACCATATTGTAGCAAACCTCCATTGTGGGCTTCAGAGCTCTGTGTTACATGATCTTCGTAACTGCCTTGTTTGATTTTTTTTTTTTTTTTTTTTTTTGCTGTAAACTGAAGATTCTAATCCTTCTTCAGCAGTGAGGAATTCAGCAAGGCAAACATGAAAGTACTATGAAGTTACTGAAAACAACCCTACATTTGGATGTATCTGCAACAATCTTCAGCTGTGCTTAATTTGAAGCAATTGTGGATCATGAGTTTAACCAAACCAGTGACAATTGACAGGCTATATACATCATTCATTTAAATGAGACTGAAAAACTTTCCTGTACTCATACTGCACTGCAAGTAGAAAGCAATATTTTATGTTGAAGCACACAGAACTTTGAAAATCCAAATGGAGTTGTTCTTAAGTGAAGACAAAAATAGCAAGTCAGGAATCTGATCTGTTTTTGTCTGATGTCTTAACTGATAGTACTTTTACCATTTACTTACTGCTTTTTCTATGCAGGGACTTCTGATGCTCTTTAATGGAGGAATAGGTTCAGTGTTGCTTGTTCTGAAGCTATGATTCATTTAATATTACGTAGATCATTTCTTGTGAACTTTCAGAATGATATTTAATCATAATCTGTTTTTAGAGAATTTGTGCAGGCTGGGGTTTGTGGGGGAATCTATCTTTTTTTTTTTGTAATACACAAAAAGGGTAGAATTAAGGGAGAGTATTTATTTGCACTTAATCATGGTGGAAAAGTTTATTCAGGTTCAGTATGTTTGCATATAAATATACACATGTATAAATACTTATAAACTGTAGCCATAATTTTTAATAAGATGACTCAATCAAGGTCAGATAGCCAAATTAGCTTAAACTCTCTGAACTACCCAGTACTCAAATACAGGTTCATGAACTCTTTACCTGTATATTCTTAATGTAGTATGTTAAGCATGCAGGTGGGGTACCTGTTTGTTCACATCGGTCAGTGGGATTCTTCCATTCCCACTTTGGTCTTGTACCACTTAGTTTCCTTCCATGGTCTTCAAAAATTTCTACACTGAAAGTTGCCAAACAGGAACAGCATATTTGAGCTTGTATAAACGATTTTCTACTTGTTAACTTATGCTGTTTTGTTTTGAGACTGGTCAAATACTTCACGTAACTAGGGAAAGCTGAAAACTGTTGATATCAAGCTACTTGTAATACTAGACAGTTTCCTCTTGTTAAAAATGTCTAACAGGCCATCTGAAGTATGAAGTTCTTTCAGTATAGAAAATGAACAGAGAAAATGTTTTGCTTAAAACTTGATTAGTGTGAGTGTAACAAGGAGAATGAAGCAGTACAGTTTGAGTAAATGTAAACATTTGAGAAAGGCTGCTTGTTTTAAAGTTGATAGTGAGAATAAGACAAGCTTTTATTAATAACTTTGTGCTTGAAGCTTTCTCTTGTTTCTAGTCAGGTCAGACTATTGCATAGTTCTCTGAAAACATGAAACTTTCTTCTTTAGCCACAGTTAACAGGTAACATGGCCTTAATAATCAGATGCAAATCTCATTTTCCACTTCCAGAATTATTGACTGTAGAAATACATGGAGGACGTAGTAGATAACTTGCTCAGAAATTATCCATTGCTAGTATTCTATTTCTACTCAATTTTCTTATGTTGAACTTAAGCAGTAAAATTGATTTTTATATACCTGGTTAAAGTTATTACCACTATAATTTCTTAAGTATTTCTCATTTGCCTATTTTTGGTGATGCATACATATGACACGTATCTTGCCTATGAAAATAATGGGAAACCATCAGATTGACAGCGAATGTAAAAGTCTGTTCTTGGCTGAGTCCTTTTTAAAAGAAGGTAGAACAGCACTAAACTTCCATATCACAAGTTGTTTCTGCAAGAGTTGTCAGAATCTCTGATCATCCTGAGGGAAGCTGGTTGCTACTATTGCTATCTCAATTAAAAGGGGGAAAAATTGATCTTTTCTGTTCTGTAGTTAAAGTTAGTGCTTAGCTTTCTGAACCTCTTTGTAGAGGAAACTACTAGTGACTCAGACATTTGAAAACTTGGAAAAAGTGTGATTTCATGCAGAGATTGCACTTTGCCAAAGAGACTGCTGCCTTACACTGTGAGTTTAAGCGTACTCTAAATTCTTCCTTCTCCCCACCTTCAAATGCAGGTTGGGTATTAACTCCGGTTGACTGATTCTGTTTTAAGTCTTCCTCAGAATATGAACTATGGAAAAACAGAACAGTTGAGCTACTGTGTACCTCTCTACGTTAGTAATCCATTTGTCCTGGTTGCTACCACAATAAATAGCTGATGCCTTGAATAGGAACATTCAATCCGTCTTGATTTTGACGTAGAGAAAGTGATGCTAAATAGTGTTGTGACAGATTGGAATGAGTGACAAACACTGATGCTTCCTATGACACTTCAGAGTTTTTACAGAATAGGAGAATTTGAAGGTGCATTTCCTCTTTCAACTATTCCATTCTTCTGTGGATTAGGTAAGTGTCCTTAAGTGAGCAGAAATCAGTAATACTAGCTGGTACAGCTGACTTTCTTCCAGGAATAATGCATTTTTGTAGGAGTTTCAAACTGTTGAAACGACTGCCAGCAGAGGTTATGCTTTCTCTGAATATGAGGGTACTGAAACCAAACCATGTAATGGAAGCTTTAACAAAGTCAATGCTGAGTTAAAAGGACTTAAAGGGAGGGGCAGGGAAGGGAAATACACGGGCAATATAAAAGACGGTTCAAACATTCTGACTGAAATTTTCAGAAACTATGGTCTCTTACGCTGTGTCTGGTCCAGAACGAATTAATCAGACAAAAAATTAGCTCCAAGCTGATCAACATAACTGTGCTGTTTTTCTGATATTCTGAATGTATCTCTTCGTATATCTCTTTATGTGTTCTTTTGGAGGCAGAGAGAGATGAACAGCGTTTTGGAGGATCTCTGTTATAAGGCTTTCTGCTTAATAGAATGGCCTAAAAAGTAATGATCTTACCTGATACCTAAGAGATCAAGTATCTGAAAAAGCATTCTGATAAAATTTAGTTCTTTTATTGGGCCTTGAGTAGGTCACAAAATCACAGAATGGTTTAGGTTGGATGGGACCTCTGGAGATCATCTCGTCCAACCCCCCTGCTCAAGCAAGGTCACCTAGAGCATACTTCCCAGGATCGTGGCCAGGTGGGTTTTGAATATCTCCAGTGAAGGAGACTGTTCCAGTGCTCTCTCACCCTCCCAGGAAAGAGGCTTCTCCTCCTGTGTTTCAGTTTGTGCCCGTTGCCTCTTGTGCTGTCACTGGGCACCACCGAGAAGAGGCTGGCCCCATCCTCTTGACACCCTCCCTTCAGATACTTGTACACGTTGATGAGATCCCCTCTCAGTCTTCTCTTCCCCAGGCTGAACAGGCCCAGCTCTTGCAATCTTTCCTCATAGGAGAGGTGCTCCAGCCCTCTAATCATCTTGGTAGCCCTCCGCTGGACTCTCTCCAGGAGTGCCATGTCTCTCTTGTACAGGGGAGCCCGGAACTGGACACAGTAGTCCAGGGGAGGCCTCACCAGGGCTGAGTAGAGGGGCAGGATCACCTCCCTCCACCTGCTGGCAACACTCTGCCTAATGCACCCCAGGAGACCATTGGCCTTCTTGGCAGCAATTGCCCTTGGGGCCTCATAGTTAACTAGTTGTCCACCAGGACTCCCAGGTCCTTCTCTGCAGCGCTGCTTTCCAGCAGGTCAGCCCTCTAGCCTGTCCTGGTGCCTGGGATTATTCCTCCCCAGATGCAGGACCCTGCACTTGCCTTTGTTGGACTTCAGG